ATAACGCGTCGCGGCCTGGCCTCCGGTAAATTTAGCTATTGTCGTGCCTAGGATATATTAAATCTCGTTAAAACGTCTTCATGAAGCCGAGGGCTCGAGTTTGCAGCGACTTCGTGGCTGTGACAGCGCGCGGACCCGTGTCTTCCTTGATACGTACCCCCTTTTTGGGGTCCCAAGAATTTTGTTTCATCCCCGATCCTCCGATCGTCGTCTCGCTCACCTGTTTATTCCTTTGGTCCATCGGACGAGGAGAAAGGGGGAGCGTATCAGCCTCGTGATTCAGCTTTCGACGTGTAAAAATCTCATTTGCGCGTCGTCTTTTTTCCATCCGTCTCGCGTGGAAAATAGACGCAATGCTGATAATTGGACACGCTCGCTGCGCGGACGTCATTCGGCTTCTGCTCGGATAAAGGCAGGCGACGATCTCGACCGATTCGTCTTCGGGAGAGAGTACAGGTGTAGGCTTTTGTGGCTAATAGACAGGGACAGAGAGAGAGAGAGAGAGAAAGAGAGCGCGGCCCGGTCTACCGAGTGAATAGACCTCTCGTGATTCGATTAGCTGCCCACGAGCCTATGCTAGGCCTGGCCCGAGACCGACGTGTTTTCGGTAGGCGAAGCTACGAATTATGCAGGAACACAATCACCCACAGGTATTCCCGGTGACAGAAACGTGGGAGTGATTCTCTCCTCTGGAAGAGGCACAGGCCGCGCCCACTTGTTTGCCCAGGGTAACAGTTTTACCCAAAGCCTCGCCAGGCCTGGCTCGAGCCACAGGACCACTCGCCGCGCTCTCTATTGATTTATTCGGTTCATCTGCAGCTATTATCGCGAACGAGAGGTGAAACGAGCGAGAGAGACGAGCAGAGACAGGAATACCCGAATGTTTGTTCCTCTTAAAGATGCCTTTCTAGCTAAACCTCGCTAAACCTCGCTAAACTTTGCCAAACTTCCCGTTCAGGAACAATTTCCGCCCAGGCCTACGGAGTCTCTAGCGCGTTCCACGAATCGAGCTGCCTGTGATATAAAGGGGATCGAGAAAGAATGCTCGATGACGTATTTCGCGGTCCTCCGACGCGAGGATTCGAACACCCACGTACGAACAGCCGGTTCGAGTTAGAACAATAGTATCCCGAACGCCTCTACCGTGATTATTGTAATGACGCCAGGTCTCGAGCACCCTGGAACCTCTTCAACGATATGATTTGTGGCCCGTCGCGCGACGCGAATACCGATGCGAGAGCCTCCACTGTCGACGTCCGTTTTCACGCCTGCCACTTTTCCCGACGCCGCTTTCTATCTGTCGTGTATGAGCGCACTTTTCGCGCGGCTACCGACTCGTTTTCGCGCTTGTCTTATCGTTAAATGGACCCTTCCCTCGTGTCCCGTTCTACAAACGTTGTCAAACGTCACCAAATCGTCGCCAAACATCACCAAACGTCACCAAATCGTCGCCAAATGTCAGTAAACATCGTAAAACGTCACCAAATCGTTGCCAAACATCACCAAACGTCGTCAAACGTCATGTAACGTCACTAAATTGTCGCCAAACGTCATCTAACGTCACCAAACGTCGCCAAATGTCATCTAACGTCACAAATCGTTGCCAAACGTCACCAAGCATTATCAAACGTCATATAACGTCACCAAATTGTCGCCAAACGTCATCTAACGTCACAAAACGTAGCTAAACGTCGCCAAACGTCACCAAATCGTTGCCAAACATCACCAAACGTCGTCAAACGTCATATATCGTCACTTAATTGTCGCCAAACGTCATCTAACGTCACCAAACGTCGCCAAATGTCATTTAACGTTACAAATCGTCGCCAAACGTCACCAAGCATTATCAAACGTCATCAAACGTCATCAAACGTCATATAACTTCACCAAATTGTGGCCAAACGTCGCCAAATGTCATCTAACGTCACAAAACGTAGCTAAACGTCGCCAAACGTCACCAAATGTCACCTAACGTCAACTAGCCGCAACTAATTATAACTAACCGCAACGAAACTCACCCCTTTGGAGCCGAGGAATCGCGATGATCCCGACGTTGGACAAAAACAGAGAAGGTGGATCCGAAATGGATCCGAAATGGACCTCGCTGGATCGGAATTCCACGGAGAAGGTCACCCGGTGTTTGATTAGGATTCTATCGAGCTCCGGGCATGGTTCATCGGTGACCACCTCGGAGGGTCAATATTATCACACGTGCTCGAAACGCCGACACAGGGACCGTTCTTATATCTGCTCGTCTCCGATCACGATTCCGTCTCAGATCGGGACCATCGGTACATCTCTCGCGGCACCTGCATTCGATAGGTATATATTTATCCAAGTCCGCCCTTTTCAGGTAGACGCTCGCCGCGCCATTTGAATACACTCGAACATTCGATGAATCTATTTGCATCTTCTCTTCGTAGATAAAGCTGGCACACCTTCGGTGAACGCCTCTCGAATTCTGTTTCCTCGGTCCCGTTTTCCCCGTGGAAAAGATCCCGACCAGCATTCAGGGGGGATGAAATCTTCGTTCGAGATCTGCCATCTTTGTTCCTCGATCACTGTGTCGAATTACGAGGTATCGGGATTATACCACGCGACTCGAGCGTGGTACCGACTCGGTTGACCTTTCGCGCTCTGCAATAGTGGACGGAGGAATATAATACAAAATTCAGCGTTAAACTTTCGCGACTTGAATGGCGTAGAAGGAGGTGAAGTATCGAAGATATATATATATGCAAATTTATGTACGATCTCGTTTTTTCTGCCTCGTCGCCTATCAATCACGGTACAAAAGTTTCGCATTCTTAATTTCGCGTTGCAATCACTCCTCAAGTACAAAAGATTAGATATATCGATACCGAAGGTGTCGCACGGATCAAAGTTTTGCATTCGTTGCAAGTAAATTATTTTTGGCGTAATTATCATCGATCCTTGTTCAAATAGAACGGTAATTAAATTCCTATATTTGCGTTACACATCGCTTTAAGCCTTTGCATTCGACGATCTTTTGGCTACAGATGACTAGGAGTTCAAAGATTTTCTGCTATAAAGCTGGCGATTTTTCTCTCAGTAATAAATAAGAAATCGTATAATAAGTAACTCGTAGAATTAGCATAGCATTAGCGTAGAATAGCTCGCACACCGTTGCATTATCTCAAATTTGACACATTAATTAATATCGATCTTCGAAATTTTATGAAACGGTGACTGTGGGCCCCCTCTCGAGTGCAAAGGGTTAATATCCATTCCGCATTTAATTTGCGCTTTCGAAAACTCGAAATCTTTTCAATTCCTCCGTTCTTTTTCACCTTTTAATGATAACAGGTCCGACATACGCGGCTGTCAGTTCGAGTTTGAAGGCAAGTCACGTCGAATGTATCTTTCGTTAAATAGAACTCCTAACGGGAGTCTCCTTGAACCCACATGAACCGAGTCAATTGTAATATCGTTCTATTACACAGGTATATGTAAATACGATTCACCGATAATATTTGTAGTCACAAAAAGACTACCGTGTATTTTCATTTATGAGATATGACTGCTTGAATCTCCGAACATCGATGTTTCCCATTAGCGTTCCTTTAAATTGCATAATTTTCACGAGTACATAAGATTTGCTGTAAACACGTAAATCTGATATTTTGCAACGGAATCATCGAAATCATCGGACGAACTAAAATTTTTTCCAATCCTGACACGCGATGTTTTCCATCCAATCGCGGATGCATGATTCGCGATGCATCACGGGTTCTAACGTTATAAAACTTTTTCACTTGCTATAATTAAAGACTCCGGGATCTTCCGACTGTCAGGAATTGACCTGTCATTAAGATCCTCGCGTTTCGCTCGAACAAAGCCACAGTTTCTCATAGCTCAGCAGTGGGTAGTTCGAGAATCGATCAAAATCGAGAATCGTGAATGGAAAATCGAGAATCGGGGAGAATGGAGAATGGAGAATCGAGGGACTCGAGGGTAGCTGATCTCTGTTGGAAAAAGTTGGGAAAATTCGCAGCAATGGAGGCGAGGATACGTTTCGGGCGTATCGGGGAAATATACAACGAGCGAATTATCGCGACTGGTCGTGACTGTAGGACGGAACGCGTAATCTCTGGCCAGCCGCATTTATTCTGGCCGCAGAAAGCGGTAACAAGTAATAACGCGGCGCGATAGGATCGTGAGAAAGGTATTGTCGGCGTGGCGATAACGGCCATTCCGCGGCGAATGCAACGGCTCGGGAGATTCGTGGAGACGATACTTGGGCTGGAAAAAGGCGAATCGTCAGGCATTGGCCGAAAAGGAACAAAGGAGAAACGAAAGGCGGATAATTGGAATGCAATTATTCGCGGTGTCCCGTACTCGCGCGTTCGTGGAACCGTTGGTGGAACACGCGGCGACGCTAGAGCGGTCGCAAGACGGAACCGATTCCGCGACCAAGACAACGGAACATCCGTTTTTTCCACGCTTTTTACGATGCTCATTTCCGTTCGCGGTAATGTCACTTTGTATAGTTTTATCTCGACAGACCGGTGCAACGGGCACAGTCGTAAAACACTTATGACACCCGTAGCATAATAATGCCGTCCGATAGCGGCTATCTCGGCCGGTATAGGAGGCGGCGCATTCGCCATTTTCCTAATTAATGTTTAATGCCCGCGATATCTGCCCTCCTTACTCACGATTATACCCGAGCCGTTGATATCGCGTATCGACGCTCCCAGGCTTTTTCCTTTAACCCGTGCGATCGTGGAATCGGGTTAAAATTTGCGTAGCCGTTGCCCGATAGATAAACGAAAATTAAACAGATTAGCTCGCAATCTTAATGGTACCATAGTTTTCCTGTGAGTCATCCTGTGCTCGCAGCGCCGCGAATCGACGCAGGATCGAGCCAACGATCGATGGTTATTAAGTCGTAATATCGTGGCACCGGGGCAGAGAAAGAGAGAGCGAGAGAGTAGTCGTGACAAGCGTTCTAACCCGAATCGTTAATCTGTTTTCAGTCGCATCAGGAGGAGGATCTGTCGGATCCAGACCTTCAGGACGAGGAGAGCGGAGAGGAGTTACCTCAGCAACCACTTCAGGGTAACACGCACTCCTCGTCGGATAATGCATCCGCGCAGGCTGGTACACCTACTCCATTAACACACTTGAACAGCCTGATGGGCGCGCACCATCCGCACTTTCTGGCCAAGCTGAAAATGGAGGTCAGTGGAAAAAGACGTTTTACACTTGGTCCCGTCCTCGAAGGCTCTCGGTGAATGTCGCGAATCCCCGGTTGTGTAAGAGCGCCGCGACGTGCTCCGATGGAAATAGGATAATCAAAATGGCGGGGAGGCAGGGTCGCTGGAACGTCGAGCAGTCGTTTACGTAATTCGCGGTAAAGCCTGAGCTCGATGAAAATCGAACGTTCACTGGCTCGTAGGGAAACAGCGACACGCGAGTTTCGGAAAATCTGCGGAAAGATCGCGGTAACGGAACGACCGTTATTATCTGTTCCAAGCCTGGCGCCATCGTGGCGCTATGGCAGCTCTCGTTTCTTTCCAAAGTCTCGTAATAAAACCACCAGACTATTTTTACGATCCTTTACTCGCAACTCGCAATCGTTTCCTTTCCCCGACGCAACGTGCATCCGCCTTTTAACCCTTTGCACTTTGCTTTCACATATTTTCAAAGCGTGGACGATAGAAAAGTGCAAGCTTGCCACGGTACTTTGCAAAGTTTCACGACGATTAATTTATTCCAACAAATTTGATGGGAAAGCTCGTATTATAATTCGTGAACCGCGAAAGTAAGTCAACCGTTCTCGCACGACGCGTTAACCCATTCGCGAGCCAGCCGTAAGTCCGTCTGCCGCGTAACTCACTAGCGCCACCGCGGTCCGTATCTCCGATAAATGTAGATATCGCATGCGTCGTTGAATTATTTTCTAATTTTACCAACGCGATCGTGGAATTTTCTTACTCTTCTTACTACGTGTCGCTTATTATCGGTATCTACTCGTGAAAGGATCAAGCATCCTTAAGCTACCCTGTCAAGTTAGGTCTGGTTTCAAGAGCGAAAGCTCGACTGAAAACTGAAACTAGGATGGAAAATTGGAAATTTGAACGGGGAATTTTTTCTCCACAGCCATCCGACGTGGATGCACTGAACAACAAAAGTGGTCTGGAGGCATTGCAGGCCGCGATGGGCGGCGGTGGTTTCAATCTGCCGTTCTCGTTTCCACCGCCAGCGGCGTTCCTGACGCCGCAGCATCACTCGCAAAATAGTCATCCGCAGTCAGGTGGCGGGATCGGGAGCGGCGTTGGAAATCAGGTAACATCATCGGCCAGCTCGCATTCCAGCGAATCGTCGCAGGGCAGCGCGAGAAACGGCGGCGAGCCCCGCGAGAGCAGCAATCATTCGCAGAGCAACTCGACGGGAACGAATCACCAGCAGCAGACCAGCTGGAGTTTCGAAGAGCAGTTCAAACAGGTGCGTCAGGCAAGTACCTATGTATATCTAGCTACACTACGCATACACCTTCTCCTCTTCACTCGCGTTATCGAGTCCACCAAATTCGCATCGAACTCGCATCGAATTCACCGAAAAGGGAAATGGAACTGGGGTGTGCCCACTTGGTTAGATTTCTCCTCCACGACGACTTATTTGTCGAGGGATTTTCAGCGTGACGATCTTGATCGATCTTTCCTTTCCTCGTCGATTAAGATTCGCTACTAATAACAAGCGAACTGCGTCGCGCGATGAGTTTCGCGACAGAACTCGCAGCGAGGAGAAGATAAGAGCCTGATAAATCGGATGGATAAGGGTCTGGTTACAGAAGTCTCTGTGTACTGCTTTTGGTAGTCGGCTGGCAGCCACGAGAGGCGCACGCACGAGTGTCCTGGGCGTGTAAAGCGGTCGGTCTTTGTGTGACAGTGGTTAGCGGCATAAGGGACATGTAATTACGAGCGGCAAGCGTACGCTTGGCGCAAGAGACGGAGTGAAGAGGTTGAGTGGGGGTTTTAATTAATGCAACGATGGGAGCTAATTATTATTTTTACACGCGCGGGAGATAATTACTGGCTGACCGTCCCCGAATGCCGGCTCGGGTTGACAGCGTGTTCCTTGCGAGCGCGGGCGCGAGAAGGACAGGGGGCCCCCGTGGCCAAGTCGATGCCAAGAGAGAAAGAGAGAACTAAAGGGTACGAGGAATAGAAAAGGGTGGTAAAAGGAATAGCAAAAAGGAAAGGAGGGAATAGAACGCGAAAATAGTGCCGCGCGGGATAAACGCCGAGGGGTGGAAGATAGGCGGGAGAGAGGGGTTGGACAGAGTTATAGAATAAGCTGGGACGCGCATCGGAGCCTTGTTAATGCTTTTTGTTTCGGCTCGTCGTGCCCTCTACTCGCGCGGATATTTTTGCTCGGTCTGTCGGCCAGCCAGGCCGGGTCCACGCTACCAGCGTGTTTTTCAGTTTTTGCAAAGAGGGTGTGGTGTTGGATTACCATTTAGATTGTTCACGCGCCGATATACTCCGCAGCCTACGACAAACCTACTTCGCGAACCTCCGGACGAAGGACGAAAACGCGTCTGATGCACACGCGTCTCCTGTTTAGCTTTCTTGCTCGCCACCGAATCTTTTCTTTTCCCTTCTCCTCCTCCTGCTCATCTTCTTCCTCCTCGTCGGAGGACCATTCCCCCCATGCTCCTACCGCGACCATTCGCGTGTGACCCTCGTCGATGGTTTGGTCCGCGAGGAAAAAGGTGGCCGGGGGAGCTTTCTGTATTTCGCGACAATCGTGTTTAACCTCTGCGGGTGTCGGGAGTTAGGGGCGCTGCGTTGGCCGTAAGGAGATCGGGGTCCGGTTCGATGTCAAGGAGAAGAGAAAACGGGCGCCGAGTCTGCGCGAGGCGTATCGCTGATTAAAGCGTACAGACGCGAGAGAACGACGCGAAAGAGGAGAACGGTAGGGAGACGAGGAACAAGCGTAGGAATGAAAATGGAAGTCTCCACCTACTCGAAGAGCGGCGCCCGCGTCTCACGGATCGCATCCATCATTCCGGTGGGGGCGTACTTGCCGGGTCTTTAATCTTTCTTCTTAGCGAAGATGGTGGTACCTTCTTCCCTTCTCTCCCTTACGAGACAGAGAATCTTGCCCCTTTCTCCACGCTGACACGGCGCGTCTTCCTCTCGATCTCTCCGGTGCACCAAATTTAACCCGGGGCGCCCTCTCCATCGCGATCGATCGATCCCGAGGAGCTGCGAAGCGATGGCCGCCGCGAGCTTCTCCCGTTCTCCGCTTCGCCATCCTCACACCCGTGCGAATTATCCAATTTTATTTCAATTTTATTCCAATTTTATGCCAATTTTATTTCAATTGCAACGGGAAGGAGCGTGAACGATAATATCGGATATTAAAATTCGGCTCGTGAATTATGCGATTCCGTATCAACGGTCAACGTTAAATTTATGATCCCGCCATTTTTCTCTCCCTTTCTCATTTTTTTTCCACTACCTCGCGATTGCGCAACAATCGGTCTAACGATCGTTTAACCGAACTATCGCGATTGTTGTACCTGCGCGTCGGAATTCGCGACAGCGTTTCTCCTGGACGATAACTTTATTGCGAAATCACACGTCGACTGTCACGTAATCGACACACCTGCGCCATCTATGGCGACAGGAGACAATGGAAAAAGTGACTTCAACTCGACGATCGTTTAATCGTCCTTAACGATCCTCTCGTCGAGATGTAAGACACTCTCTCTCTCTCTCTTGTTCTCTGCATTTCGGTCCTTGGCAGTTTAGGACCTTGGCAGACGAGGCGCTAACGAGGCGCCGGGGATAAAAGTATCTCGGACGAGTTTATAGTTCTCCGGGGTAGTTGTTTTCTCGATCACGGGGTAGCAGGAAACGGGGTAGCCTGGCTGGCGAGGACGAAAGTCCACTGGGATCTTGCGAACATAGGGTGGAACGTGTTCGGTGGCTACGAAGACGCTCTCTCCTCGGTCGTCTGCGAGTTGCAACCATAACTGCGCCTACACGTATCTCGCGGCGCATCATCCCTGCTCGCACCACCGTTCACTGACCGTGCACTCGAGCTACCACGGCCGGTATAATACTGTAGCACTATACTTTGCAGCCATTGTGAAATAACTCGTAAAGCTGCAAATTGCCGGGTATTTCGCCGCCATATACGTGTGTACCGTGGCTCTTTACACCGCGCCGCGGCGGTGTTGGTGCGTGCATCCAGCGAGCGTAATGCACACCCACGAGCGTGTTCTCGACGTCGTACGCGATGCCTCGTTACGTGTGTCGGTTCGTATACCCTGGCTTCTCGCAGCCTGTGTCCGTGTGCCCGGTGCATGCACGATCGGACCAACCATCGGCCGCCTATCGACCGGTGGATCCTCCCCGCGTTATCATCGCGATTATGCAAATGCGTTATCATTATGCAAACGTGCCGGCGCGTTAAAACGCCGTCTACGATCGTCCCGTCATCGCGATGGTGGTGGTGGTCGTCGTCGTTTACTGTCGTCGCCGCTGTCGCGTCGATTCAGGGAGTGCAAATCGCGCGAGGCTTTTTGACAGCCGATAGGGTGGTCACCGTCGATTTTTCGCGATTAACGCTTATACGACTGCCACATTGGTCGTATATGATCGAGCATAGTGTCTCCTGTGACGCTACAGTGATCATTGGTGACTAGGGAGCTTGAACTACTTACGATTGTAAAAATTGAACGAAAATTGGCAGTTGTCTACGATCGTCCCGTGATCGAGGTGGTGGTGGTCGTCGTTGTAGTTTATTGTCGTCGCTGCTGTCGCGTCGATTCAGGTAGTGGAGATTGCACGAAGATTTTTGACAGCGGATAGGGTAGTCTCCGTCGATATTTCGCGATTATCGCTTACATGGCTGCCACGTTGGTCGTATATGATCGACCATAGTGTCTCCTGTGACGCCACAGTGGTCATTGGCGACTGGGGCGCTTGGTCTACGTACAATTGTAAAAATTGAACGAAAATTGACAGTTAGTTGATTGTCAACCGTTACCACGGCGCCACCAATTGTCACCCGTGATTGCTAATAAGATAAACGTAATTTATTATTATTCCACCTTATTGTTACATGCTTTGAATAATAAAAATTCTCCCGTGGGGCCCCGAGCGAAACGCGGGATCTCAGCGTGACGGTCGAAGGGTCGAAGGGTATAACGAAACGGATCGTGGAAGGAACGAAGGAAGGAAGGAATTGCCGAGTATCTTTCAACGGAGATTATATAAAGAGGACATCGAACAGGGAACGTATAATCGTTAATTATCACGCGAGCGCCATTACGCCGAGGAATCGTAGCTGGCGAGCACGGAATAACGCTGATACCGGTGCCGTTTTTCTTCGCTCGTTTGCGAAACAAAGCCGGTCGGGTTTCGATGGCCTTGCGATACCGAGCGCGCGAGTCGGCTCGCGAATATTACGCGCGGGCGCGCGCGCGCGTGCTGCTCGTACCGAGCGTTTTATAATTATCAAACAAAAAACGGGCAGTGGAGGCATGCGAAATGGCATTTGGTAAAGTTTATCGGTAATGAATGCGTTGTTCCGACGCGGCCGGCGCGCGCGTGCGCGGGTCGGCGGAGCATAACCGGTAAACATAATTTGTTCCTTCATGAATCTTCCGCAACGAAGTTGCTCGGTGCTCGGAGTTGCAGCCCCGTTTCTTCTCCCATGTGGACCCCTGGACGAGTCACGATATATTAATTAGTCGACGGAACGTCCGCTCGTCAATTAATGCCCCTTTTTACGGATTCTCGATTTTCCTTTTTTCTCCGCGCCGCGGCATTCCCACTGGTCATTATCTCTGTATCCCCGCTTATCGATCAATTAGCATGCCCATGCATGCAGAAGCGCAATTACGGCACGGTGCAGCGGGATGATTATTGGACGAAGCCCGTTCACGGAAAAGGGAATTGTCCGGCCGGGTTACGCCGTTGCGGCACCCTCCGTTTCTCCAGGCGTCGGTGCAACCGTTCGTTAATTCTCCGCTGCATTCGGTAAGGCAGAGCTTCTTCTTCAAAAGCTTCCGTGGCTCGCGCTCGTTCCCGAACCGGGCGCTCGGACACTCGTGCAGAGGGAATCGTAACAGGGTAGCGCTAGAGCGTCGAACGAGCCGCGAAATTACGGACGACCGTGTTGCGCTCACGGCCAACCCGTGGCCCAGGACTAATCTACTTACCCGCCGTGCAACACCTGCATCGTTTACCCGGTAAACGCTCTCACGGCGTCGGCTTTTTTCCCGCGAGGAAAAAACCGCCGGGAAAAAAGACCGAGGTGAAAACAGACACAGAGAGAGAGAGAGAGAGAGAGAAAGAGAGAGAGTAGTAGTAGGGGGAAAAAAGAAAAAGCGAAGAAGAAACGATATATTGACCCGCGGATTCTTCGTGTTTACCCAATAATTGGATGAGGCTGTAAATATGGCCATTAAGCTACCTACACTTTCC